AAACTATATTAAAAAGTGTATTACAGTTTGTATTATTTTTCGTAGAGAACGTTAGTCGGCAAATGTTGGACAGTTTTATAGCGTTTCGTTTCGCGCCTTGTACTTTATTCATGAAGAGAACACGGTATACTTCAAAGACAAATTCTACCCAAAAAAGGAACACTGACAATTCCAACACAGATGAATTGACAACGAAATCAGGGGTTCGTTATTAACGAGTTCTTTTGTACCAAATTTCATAAAAAGTTAAAAAATTACTTGCTCGTTTTTTTTTATACATCATTATTCCTTCTTTTACTCATTTTTATTTTTTAACGTATTTACTTTTCTGTTTTATTAAAAACTCAACCAGAGAATGATCAGAGTCATAGAAAAAACGTATTTTTCTTATCACTGTTGTTTACCCATTTTCTGTTTCTATATTATAATTAAGTAATTATTTAGGTAAATTTTTCATAAACAAAATTAATGATTTTTGTTAGGATATTGAACAACATTCAGTGGTTGAAAATAAAAATTTACAAAATCAAAGTTTAAATGCCATGGTAGAAACATCAAAACTTCCATTAGCAAACGTTAAAAATCCTGAACAGAAACAAAAGAGTAAACTTAACTTAAAAAGTTTGAGAGACAGTAAGTCTTTTTGAAATAGTATTCATACATTATATTTGACATATACTTCTGTATGATCTATGCATGTAGGGAATACAAAAGTTGATGAGGAACTTAAACCAAACACACTTCCTCCAAAAAATAAACCTAGGGCAGTGGTGGATCTTAAAATGATGAAAGAAGAGTTAAAACAATTAGAGGATCCACCATTAACTGAATGGGAAAAGGAACTATGTTCAAATAGATTACCATTCTCATTTTTTGATAGCCCCTGTGAAGAATTAGCACAAAATTTACTGGGTAATTTGTTAACTGCTTAATTGTAATGTAATATTGGCATTTATAGTAACATAGCTTTATGCTTTTACATTTAGGAAAGATATTAGTCCGTTGCCTAGAAAATGGAACTATTTTGAAAGGTAGAATTGTTGAAACAGAAGGGTATTTAGGAATAATTGACAAAGCATCACACACATATCAAAATAAAATTACTCCTCGCAATATACCAATGTATATGCCACCAGGTACTATATATGTATACATGACATATGGAATGTATCACTGTTTCAACATATCTAGCCAAGGTGAGTAGAAAATGAATATAAACTGTAAGAAAAAAGGAATACTGAATATTGTGTTTAGTTTTAACTAATTAAAACAAATTGCAACAAAGCATATCTAGTACTTTATCAAAACATATTTAGAGTCAGGAGCACATGTATTAATTAAAGCAGTGGAACCTATACTTGGCCTTGAGTATATGGAATTATTACGAAACATGCAATGTGAAAAAAATAAGAAAGAAAAAAAACTTGTAGAAAAAGTCCAAAATTTTAAAACATATGAACTTTGTAACAATCCAACCAAAATTTGTATGGCTTTTGTTATTGATGAAGATAACTTTAATCAAAAAAAGATTTACAAATGCAGTGATTTATGGATAGAATGTGATCCATATATAAAGTCAACTACCATTGTAGCAGCAAATTCCAATGACCCAAAGAATAATAAACAAAAAATATGGAGATATTATGTATTAGGAAGTTCTAGTGTTAGTCATAGAGATATTAAGTCTGAAGAATATGCTTATAATATTTAACAATTTCCAGCTTCTGTATTTAATAATTTTCCACAAAGAAATCTCTTGGTAAGGTTTTAGGTGAGGGGTGTGCAGTTTTAATAAGGGCTATAGAACCATTAGAAGGTACTGAATATATGGCTAATCACAGAACTAGAAAGGGATCATCAAGTGCACCTAAAAAGCCTTTGAAAGATTTAAAAACACACGAATTGTGTAATGGTCCATCAAAACTATGTATGGCATTCCAGCTTTATAGAAGTCATAGTAAATATTCCTTGTGCTCTTGGAAGAGTTTGTGGATTGAAAATGGTGAAATGGAGGAAATGAATGTTGTCAAATGTCGCAGAATAGGGATAGATAACTATGGAGAAGAATGGACAAATAAACCATTACGATATTACATTCACGGAAACAAAGCCGTGAGTAAACGAAACAAGGAAGCTGAACTACTTTTGAAACTAAATTAAATTATAATTAGTATTATATATATATATCGAACTTATGAAATGAATGCTTTTTGATAGGATATAACACATTACATAAATTTATATTTCGATGTATGTATGCATTTACAAATACAAAATTGTGAGGTATACACTCTATGTTAGTTTATGGTTGTTCGAATTTTTTATTTTTAAAGTTACAAATAATTATAATGCACGT